CAAACTATGTGATGTAAACCCTTTTTACTGGGGTTACGCATCATAGTGTGCCATGCTAAAGCCGAGAGTCTATAGTCAGTATGTAGGCATTACGTCGATTAACTTCTTTTGAAGTTTATGCCTGCTGTTTTGCCTGAGTACAGACTGCAAGTCCAGGCCATAGGTTTAGCTTTGGCTTTCGAGATGCCACTCTTGAGGGAAAAATGCACTGTAAAATTGGACCAGAAAATGTGTTGCACTTCTTATGCAAGTATTCTGTGATGTATTGTATTCAATACAGATACTAAGATGCTGACTAAACTATATTTGAGCAGTTTTGCACTGCTGTTAACACATTTTATGCATACGTTTACAGATTTTTTCCAATGGAAAGTGGTTTCACTACTGGTACAGTATCAGCACCGAAGGGTTTATTCCAGCAAGCACTGTGGTTGAGTGACATCACCTCAATTTTTTATTATCCTTAAAATATTGCATTTTTCATATTCTTTATTTATAAAGGAACAATGCTGCTGTAAATACAGGTATTTTTAATTTTTTATTTCATTCCATCACCATGAGATGCAGTTCCCTATTTGTTTAAGGGGTATATAAGCTTTCTAATGGTGTCTTCAGAAATTTATAAAATGTAAATACTGATTTTGATGGTCCTTAAGATGTGTTTAACTGTGAGACTATTTAACTAATGGTGTGGATGTGATTTGTCATCCAGTATTAAGTTCTTAGTCACTGATTTTGTGTACAAAATAGGAAAGAGGGAAACTGCAGCTTTCATTACAAACTTCTTGAATTTCCCAGCTCTCTGAGTTTTAGCAAACTCTTAATTATGCCTCTGGATAGTACATCAAGCATTTCTCTCTGGCTTTAATTTGCTAAAGCTGTGCACATATGTAAAAAAATAGATTATTTTAGGGGAGATGTAGTTCTAGAATTATTGCTTATGTCATTTCTTAAGCAGTTATGCTCTTAATGCTTAAAAGAAGGCTAGCATTGTTTGCACAAAAAGTTGGTGATCCCCCCCAAAATAGTAATGAAATTACTTCTGTCCAGTAAACTTTGTATGTCATGTCAATTTATAATAAAAGCTGAAAAAATCCCTTTGTTTTCTATTTATAAAGATGCCTTTTCTATATGTACCTTTGATAGATTTTGAAGATATCATGTAAGCTGGTTAAAAAGAATTTGAATGGTACAGTAGATGTAAAAACAAAACCCCAAATGAAAACAAAAAACAAAACAAGTTCAGTTGTTTAATGAACCGCTGTTTTTACATTAAAATGTTTTATTTGAAATCAGCTTTTGTACATAAAGTTCAGTAATACAAAATCTGCCACGATGGTTGTCCAGTCATTTTGTGTGCATGCAGGAAGGCCACAAGCAGTACCTTGTATAAACTTTCTCTTCTGCATGTCTTGTAGAATTTGGATACATGTTCTTCCTTTGCCAGATCGTTCCAAAGGGAGCTAAGTTTCTGTCCGGTCTTTTTCTTATATTTAAGGTGTCTCCATAAATTACCAGGTTTTTAGCTAGATTATAAAAACTTTCATTCTTTCTAGGGGGTAGAACTGAATACTTGAGATGTATCTGTAAGTTGTGTATTACTGTTTAGAAATGTAATTTATATAACTGAAAACGAAACATATCACTTGTGATATGTTGTTGGGTTGACGGTTGGACTCGATGATCTTAGAGGTCTCTTCCAACCTTAATGATTCTATGATTCTATGTGATGTGTCAGTTATAAAAATAAGACTTGCGGGGTTTTTACATGCAAGTGGTTAATGTTTCAAGATTTTACAAGATGGTTTTATTGGAGCAAAGTTTAAATCTGTATCAGTTTAAAATGGGGCTTCTCTGGGACCGTGGAGGATGGATACTCCAGGTGCTACAGAACAAAACGAGTAAGGAGTTGTACTGCTTGGCTGAATAGTGACTGTTGAATAGCAGACACTGAAAACCTTTTTCCATGTTAAAAATAATTCAGATACTGAAATACAGGATATGACAGCTAGATTCTGTAAACTTGACTTCAGACTGCAGTTGTCTGGTATGCTTTTGTCTCTAAAATTGGCAAGGTTCTTCTAATCTAGCCTTTAATATGTTCATGGCAGATTTTTATGATGTTTTGTATTTGGTGAACCCGAAGTTGGTACCTAACATATGATTGAATATTTAATTCAGTGCATTAAATACTGTATTCAAAATTGTTAGATGCATTTAAGTTGTTAAACCTTAAACGTATGTTGCTTTGACTGTGTCTTGAATGTAGTCCTTGAATTTTTTGGGGGTGGGGTGAAGATTCACTGCCTGGAATGAAGCAGTTGCAAAGAATTTTAACTGTTCTGATTACTTCACCAAAACAAAACCCCCAAACCAGCAATTTAATTTTACCTTTGAGAATGCAGGAGCCGTTCTGTGAGGACAATTTTGACTATTGTTCAAAGTTAAGTATTTCTTAATTCACAGAACAGTTTGGTGCCATCATCAACCAGTGCTTGAATGAAGGTGTTCCTGTTGGACCAGATCCTGGTTATAAATGTGATACTGCGTGGTTTCACAACTGAGAAAACAAGAGCTCTGAATGAAGTAGGTAAGTCTGCCTTCTGTGTCTCTGATATCTGCTGTTCTTAAGATGCTTGATTTGAGACTGAAGATGTGCTCTTTAAGGAATATACTCGGCATCTTATGAAGGTTTTTCCTATGAATGGTGTATTTATGAGAGAAAGCTACCATGTCAGCAACCTTATTTACTGGGTTCACAAGTTCTTTTTCCTATAAAAGAGACCAAGGAAATGGAACAGGCTGCAGGTAAAGCAGAACTAAGGGAATAAAGTAAAGCTGTGTGTTAGTTCAACGTGGACTTTATTTGAAGGGGATTAAGTACCTCTGCTTCTTGCTCAGTAATGGTGGCCAAAAACTACTATGTGTAAGAGTTGCGCCATTTAATGCAACTGTAAGGGAACAGTAAAACAGAGGCAAATTAGCTGTGATGGAATATTGAGGAAAGTAGTTTACAGATGCTGTAACTAATTTTTTAAAAAGAAGGAAAATTGTGATTTCTGGAAGAGATACCAGTTAAAATCTGAACTTCAGTAGGAAATTAAGTGCACAAGTGAGAAACCTGAAAAAAAATTGTTTGGGACTTCTGAGGGACAGAAGATGAAAATAATTTAAAAAAAAAAAAGCTCTTAAAGATGGCTGCTGTGCTATAGAATACATTTTTATGCTCTTGTTAGAGGACTGCAGTGATGCTCAGCTTTATGCCCCAATAAATAATTTACTAGACCATACACAGTTGAGGGATAAAACTTTATTTAAAAAAAATTTCACTTGACACATAAGTCCTTAGTTGAGGTAAGTGAATGTACTAGCTTAAGAAAACAACTTTCAGGATTGGATTTCATAAGCAGTTAACACTCTGTTGTTCGCAAGGCTCCAACAGCTAGAGGTGAAAAATTGTTAAAGGAAGTGTCAAGTTCTCTATCTAGTGGAACTCCGCTGTGGAAGAACAGAATTTCAACCTTTTTAATTCAAGCCTCTTCTGATTCTTTGCATACTTTGTTACTTTATTACTCAGGTCTCTTGCCCTGAGACTCTTCACCCCTCCTGGGTTTAAATGGTGTAGCTCTAAGAGGTGGCTGAACAGTACCTAATTTGCTATTTGGACAGCTAGGCTTATGCTAAGTTTAAAAAAACCAAAACAAAACACAAAACCACAACAAAACATCACCAAAAACCCAACCCAACATTGGCAAGCTGCCCTTGTTCAACATACAGCTAAAGAGTGAAGTCGGAAAAAACTATTTCTTCTATTGCCATCCTCAGCTCTCAAGGGGAGCAGTAGGGGCCTCCTGTGGCCCTTCACAGTCATCTCGGGCTGCTTTGTGTGTATATTCTGAACAAACCGACAGGGCATTACCATCTCTGGAAGTACCTGAATTCAAGGCTTAAGCTTTATTTTCTAATAGGCAAGTAAATATCCTGCAGAATCTATAGTCTGACTAGCCCCTCCAAAAGCAGATGAAAAGGTACCTGACCTGTCGGTACCTCAGAAGTGTAGATATTCACAATTTTAGTTTCCATATGGTAAAAGTACTAAGTTACAACTAGTACCTGACACCTGAAGTGTGTAAGTAAAATTACCAGCACTACTAAGTGGAGCAAGATTTAAGTCAGCTGTTAGCTGGAGTGCCAACCTGACCCTCTCTAAACAGGACCGATGCTGTTTGATCATCTACTGAACCGTCTTGGCTATAGGAAAAGAACCATATTTTAAAAGTATTGAATTACCCTGTGAAGAATATTTTCAAAGGAACACTGGAAGTACAGGATAAGCTAGTATTCTCTTACTCCGTAATAGTGAAATAGTTAAGCTTGAAAAACAGAATCCTGCAAGCTTTTTGTTGCTAACACTGCATTATCTTACCCGCAGGTGTCCAGTCTTCCTCACTTCACGTCTTACAGTAAATTCCAACCTAAATACCATGTGCAAGTTCTTTGTATCCATCTGAATCTACTCACAATTTTTTTTTCTTGTAAATGGTATAAGTATCAACTGCCATTCTCCTCTTCTGAAATTCATGTACCCCTACCTACTGCAGATGCTCGGGGAAAAAAAAAGCAGGCAGGTGACTAATGTTTTTGTACTGACAATGTGATCATGGGGGATATTAATCCAATGTAAATTAAGCTTTTTATGCTAGCATAGAGGGCTAATGTAGCATGTTGACACCGAAGGAAAAAGGGCAGAATGATTGTCTAAGTTTTATAAAAATACTGTTATTCTAACATGCTAAAATACATTTAATTTTAATTGAACTTGAGGTAAGAAGGTCCCTTTTAAGGCCCTCAGTTAGCATTACTTTAAAATATTCTTTAAATCCAGTAGTATTGCAATCTTTTGACCAGGAATAGGCGCTCTCTGATAATCTTATTCTAAATCTT